GCTCACAAACGTGCTCATTGCTTTTATTATTTTGATGTAGATTAGACTATATATTGTGAACTTTCTACTGACTGCGCTTCATATGGAACTTCCCTGCTAACAGAGGTCTCCTTACGGTGGTAGTTTGTATGGTGACATGCGGCTATACGTACCACTACAGGCCAATTCTGCTAATGTTGATTATTACGTCACATCGCACTTAGAAAGAATCTCAACAACTTGCATTTTACCATTGTAATATCTACCTGAAGTCCGATATTATTAGTGCAATATATATAATATTGCGAAATGCAAATCGTTGAGATTCTATTGAGATGCGATTGTTATTTTAATAGCAAAATTAACATGCTAGTCTTTTGCCCAACCGGTCGAACTAACACTGATTCTCTTACTGCTATTACAATAATATAAGTTTCATAAGCGACATAAATCACTATAAGATCACTAGAGCAATTAAACTTAAGACAATTTTCTACTATAGTGCAATTAGAAAACTTGTGGTCATATTAAAAAACCGAAACTAGTGGTTGAGATTTTAAAGCAAGGCCACAGATATTGTCAAGCATCTATACTGAACTATGCTCTAGAAAAGTCTCAGAAGCTAAAAAGATATAGAATGATTTCTTGCGAAAAAGTGGATACATGATCGTGTAGAATGACATAGATTATAGATTGAAATAACTCTCCCTTGCGGATCTAGCTCCTAAAAAAGTTAAGTCAAAGAGCAGGGGCATACCCTCTAAAATCCTTCCATATCCCTCCTAAGAAACAACATAGGCCTCATCTGCGCCGTTTGTTCCTATTTCGAACCCCATACGTATTTCCTCTGCAGGGTGGTTTATTAAAGACACAGAAATATTTATGGCTTTAGTACCTCCCAGACAGAATGAGAACACACAACGTCTGGTTGGTGCTCTATCTAACCTTCGGGACATGTCCAAGACGAAGACGCTTCTGTGCTTCTGTATATCTCTTGTATCTATCCGTCTGGGAGAGTGATTAGTAAGTATGTATGAATTTCATTGGGGTGGGGTTGTTTATATAAATAGTTAAATGCAATAATTGCAATAACAAAAAAAAATGGAACCGACTTTAAACTTTGAAAAAAATAAAACGCTTTTGAGATATTTCTATTTTTTTTGTTAATAAGTAACGCTAAAAAATATTAATATATCTTTATAATAAATATTCAACATAGTGAAAGTCTTAAAAAAGAAGATTTTGTTTATTTGCTCGTCATAATTTTCTCCTATAATTCTATACAGATTTAATAAAGAGAAAAGATTTGTTTGCTTGTTTGTATTGGATAGGCTCCGAAACTATTGAACCGATTTATGAAAGTTTTACAACTATGGTAAACTACTTAATAAGCGTTGGACATAGACTATAATTTACGAAGACTAGTATATATACTCCTTGAACCTAGAAAATTTACCTTTTGGATTTTGAATGTATTCCAAATCTTTTGTTTTTTTAGCTAGAAAGGGCCACGTCTTACCATATCAACTACTATTTGTTGAAAAGCGTATCTTGTTTTGTTATCAAAGGAAAACTACTAATTCTATTTCGATAAAATTTAAATGTGACCACCTCGGTCCATTAAGCTGTCGAATAAAAAAGAATTTTGAAAATAGGTCAACAATTGGCGGATATATCGGTGAACATACATAAAAAAACGCCGTCGAACATATAACCTCCTGTTTTTGGATTTTAAAGTTGGTTACTAACCAGTGAGTCTATACACGGACGACGGTAATCATTACATAATGTTCTGATATCGATATAAAATCGTGTTTGCAAAACTTGTCAATTATAATACAGTTGCACATTGTCTAGACTAGCCTTTACTACAGCCACGTGGTACATTATTCATGATATAATGAGGGAGTGAGCTTCTTTACAATGAAATTACCGTTAAGTATCAGTTTGTCTGAGAAACACGGACACGGAAAAGTTCTATATTTAAATAATAAATTGAGTAACATTTCCAAGGTCTTCTATGTCTGAATTGTAATCATATAGCTACTGAATAATTGATCAAATGGAATCAACTCGAATAGAAAGAATGTACGGATACGGATTAGTGGATGTTAACCACTACAAATGCAACCGCCCACGTGGAAGTTCATGGCCCAATCTCCTTATTTGATTTCATTCGATTCCATCCACAGAGAAGGTGTAACAGATAGGAGGTAGTGATAGGAGTTGGAAGTAAAAAAAGGGCTCAAAGTTAAGGAAATAATATAATAATAAAATAATTAAAATACAAACTTAAATACTAGCTAACTTACATGACCGAAGAAAAAAAGAGAATAAAATGTCAACAAAAAAATATACTTCTAAAAATAACTCACCGGCCTGCTGGCCAGTTCGTAACAGAAGGTTTAACCCTCAAGAGTAGAGACAATAAGTGACTGGTCATGATGATTATTATATGACATTACATACGAAAAAGTATTGACATTATTTTTGCATGTCATTCCATTTATAACGACAAGACATTTATATATTTTTTAACTTTCAAATTCAATATTATTGATCATGTTTACCAAAGTCTATCGGCAGTTAAAATAATTAGATTGTGACGTCATATCATTTATAGCCAACAGAGGCGATCAGCTAAATTAGGCTCTAATTAATTTATTTATTTGTCACAAGCCTTTGAAATTGTATACTCATATACTATAGGTATTAATATCATAAAAAAAAGACTTATTTGTTTATTGCCTAATGAAGTAGGTTTTATTTAATTCTTCTACTCTTCTGCTGTATTATGAACATAATAAATAGCACTGCAATAGTTTTTATATCATTTATATAAATAACCAACAAAGAAAAACTTCAAATATATTTTTAACATTAGTGTCGAAAAGAGATATAATACATCATTCACTGGGTATCTTACTGGTTCTTCTCAGTCAATTGTTACCAATAAAAGTTGTATGAAGAATATCGTGTGGTGGTATATACCCGTTCCTTATTTGCCTGCATCTCAACACTGCGATCTCACCCAATGAATAGCGGGGACTAATAGGATGATGATAATAAATTGCTATGATTTAGCCGAAACTTTATAGCACCTACTTACTTTGTAGATATAAGGTCGCGGCGCATACGATATCTTGCAAAATATCTATTTATCTTAATATCCTAAATGTATAACTATATATTTGTTGTCAAATTATATCACTGGATCACCCTCAACTATAATTTACTGGTGGAATAAGTATTGTCACGGTTTCAATTTAAACTTCACGAATCGTAAAATTAAATACCTGGGAAGATTTTAGTAAGCAGCTTTCTCCCCTGATAGAAAGGTCTGTGTTCATTATTGAATCGCCAATGTACATAAAAACTTATCTACATAAATTCCACATTCAATTCGCATAAAGCTTTAAACAAAATATAACATGGCATACTTTTGTTTGGATTATTTACATATAACAGCTTAATCATATTTTCTCTATTTATAATAATGTTTGACATAACTTTCTTAAGTATAAATTTAATAATGAATATTAAGCGAATTAAAAATATTCAAACATAGTCTAAAAGATAATTTAAGACATACAACATGTGACAAAATAAATATTATTGCAAAGTGAAAAACCGAAACGTCAAGAAATCAAATATAAACGCGCTACACCCGTTCAAAATGGGTAGTGCACAAGTATAATCGTATAAGAAATCAGTAAGTATTAGTTCGCCAAAAATAATTATGTCAAATACGTTTATGCAAAATATTTTAAGAATGAGAAAATTCAAAATACTGAATCCCGTTCCTAATCACATTAAACGTGTGTTCATTATATAGGTAATTAGGTCACATAAACATGGGAACTCTATTATTCTGTATAATATCTTAGATTATATCTGTAAAACATGTGATTATTTTAATGTGCGTTTTTACTTCTAGTAGCATATATATCACTATAACCTTGTCAGAAACTGGCATCGTCATGCTTATTGTCAATAAGTATCCAATCTTATTAAGTATACCTACATCTTATTTCGCCACTCGTCCATGGTTACATATAACCCGATATTACCAGTTCTTATGTAACCATGGCCGAGTGAATCGCCTGCAGGTATCGCCTTCTCTGAATTTACGGATTCAATTCCCCGTTCGAGCAATGTAGAATACGATCTTTTCTATATTTTCTCGTGTCTTATACCCGTTTTCACTAACCTAAAACAAGGCACAGCTTAACCAAGAAAAGCCTAATCTTACGAATTGCATAAGCATCTTAGTTTAAGTCTAATTTAAAAAATATACATATATTATCCCTTGATAGATTTGTGACCCGTTACGCAAGACATTGTACCTATAACGCATGTCATAACTTAAAACATTGCTTAATATCGCTAGGTGGCTTCTAGTTATTGGTGAAATAGATTTTCACCTTAGGGGTTTCCTAAATATTAAAGCAACATATTTAACAACCTCTAAGTCTAGTCCCTAGTTAAGTTAAAGTCCCTACGTTGTTTCTGATTTCCTAATCGCAAGTAGGTATGTGATGTCTAATATTTATATAATTATTATTCCCGCGAATTATAGCCTTCGTTACTCGCATATGATGTAACTTCACGTAGGAGATTTTTTTTAATCTGTTCAACAGTTTTGGAGCCTATTCAATTCAAATAAATTATGTAATTCAAATTTATATTTTTATAGACACAAAATTTTCTTCTAAACACACCTTGTCCTTACAATTAATAACACATAAAAAGAATAATAATCATCCAATTTGGTGCAGTCGATCGGAAGTTATGTATGTACATTTTGGTGATTCAATTTTATACCTTAATACCTTACTTTATATACCTTAATAGATGAAAATTGATGTTAATTAATGATGTTCTTTTCATAAATATCGCATAAAATATAAAAAGAAATTTATTATTAAATTCAGTTTCGCTCAAATAAAACATATCCGTCATCCTGAGTATGTAAGTATAAATATTATATATAGCCTATGCTGTCCTTAATACAAGCATTTAGTTTGCTCGCGAGCTCGTTCACAACCGGTGTGAATTCTGTTCTCGGTGATCACTGTTTATTGAAGAATTGACTAGTGATAAATGTGAATTCTTATTATTACAACAGCTCATTCAACGGCATAAGGTTTATTTAGCAGAAAGTAAGTGTATGTGGAATATAGTCCATAATATGAAATATTGAAACTCCTTTAATTATCCCTAACAGGGCAAAATATTTAATTTGTTTATAACTCCAGGACAATCGCATCACATTGGGTTTATATTAAAGGGCATATAAATAATTTAAGTAGAAAGTAATTAACAAAGTGAGAAATACTTATGTTGAAAGCAATTTAATTATTCAAGAAACCGTTATTGGTGTCAGGCGAATCTTTTCTGTGGGTTATTATTACATGATAACTGTATTATTTTTAGCGCTACCTAATTGTGTCTTTTTGTATAGTGTCATAAAAATCTTATGCAAAATCGATAGCTTTTGTTTTTTTCGATGATATAAATAGGTCAACTATGTAATTCTAGTATTTGGCAAATGCTTCCTTTTATTTTATAATAGAAACGTAACTACCTACCAATTTGATTTCGATAATATTCACATGGATCTTTGCATTTTAAAGTTTTACTAAACAAAGAAAAATGTTGCCAAAAGTAAAAAATACGTTGTTTTTGGTTAGTGACATTGTCATTCTCAACGTGCGATTATGGTACCACATCGGGTATCTATATAAACTGTCTATTAATTAAGTTCAAGTAATGTGTCATCTAAAAGTTGAAACATTTGATATCTGTAATGATCTATGATAGAATTCATAGTCGGCAATAGGTAATCAGTAGACGCGGTATACGAAATTAAACTTCGTAATAGATTGACGCAAACCTTATTCCGCTACTAGCTTAAGTTAATAAGTGGGTTTTGATTGAAGGTTTTTATTAGAATATAATTAACAATTTTTTGTGTAGTTTTTTTTTCATAAAGTGTATTTTTTCCCACGTGTTGTTTTGATAACTCTTGCACAATAGATAAGTATCTACCATGACTCATGTTTTCACAACCCGTTCAACCGTTTTTACTCGACTACGGCGGTGAAGCGAAAAGGAGAGTTACGATTTTGGCCAGTATGTACCTATGTAAGAATGGTTATCTATTCCTTTATAACTTCGAAACTACACATCGTAAGTGGACCAGTGAGGTATAATTTATAAGCGTCTTTGTTGTCCGCGTGCTATAGGCTGTGTGACGTTTAGTGATGAGTCCCTCACTCGCGAGGTGCCTCGTTTGAGTTCCTCATTTCGACAAAATGAGGGAGTACTCGTTTTTCAATTTTTAAACACCTCATTAAGTTCCTCACTTTTGGAGTGAGGAACTAAATGAGGTTGTGGACTTTTTGAGTGAGTAGCTAAATAGCGAGTTGTTTCGAATGAAAAGGCGACTCGATATTTACTCAATATATTCAAGATTGAGGGAATGGGTTAAGTTTTATGAGTTTTTTGGAACGATTCATGTTTGTTTATGTGTTTCTTCGTAAATACGTATTTAATATTTTATAGATAATTGATATGAATAAGTAAATATCAAAGTTAATAAAAATGTATCTGTTTTATTTAGAAATGCATTTATATGATTCGAAATATAAATGATTGATCGATCTTAAAAATGGAACATTTGACACTATTAAAAATAAGTTGCATGTTGTGGTCATTCTGATAAATTATAATCTAGTAAAGTTTATTTCTTAGAATCTTAAGACAAAATATGTTTTGTTTAGCATTACCGACTCCCTCCCTCATTTTGTACCAAACGGCAACGTTGCGCGCGCCTCGCTACGTAGGGGAGACCGAGGTGAGTTGTGACAGAGGTGAGTTGTGACAAGGAGGATTTCTCTCTACCTATTATAGCAAGCGAGATGGCTTTAACGCTTGTTTGTCGTTCTCGACACGCGCTACACGACTCAGTACCTGTCGACGGTGCATATGGCACAGTTGCGTAAATATATCGTCAGTGTACAAAAAATTGCGAAAAGTAAGTTTTTCTTCAAAATATTATTTGAATATATATCATATCTTAGTATATGTGCATTGATGTGTTATTTTTTCTTAAGTTATGTAGTTATTTAAGTCTCAATACGTGACACTGATTTTTTGTATGCGCATCGTGTTTAGAAAATACAAATTATTATTCGGACCAAGACGTCATTTTGAACACCTAGGCGAGTTGTGACAGCCTGTCACAACTCTCCTATCTTACACCATATTTCTGCTGGGCTATTTTTACAATGTTTTTTATTAACTTTAGATGTTTGTTGTTGTGTTAGTAGCTACTTAAGGTGTATAATGGCATACCGCATACTTATTTTACACACAAATAACTATACAGAGACTGAAAATCTAAGAATGTTAAGAAGCATGTCTTAAGCGAAGAAAAAATAAAGAAACCTAAAAAAGCAAAGAAGACTAATAAGAAGAATAGAACAAGTGATGAAGAAGATGCAGAAAATAATTGCTTTTATTTGGTTTGCCTTAAAGCCTATGCAGACAGCAGATCGAATGATCAGTGGGTCCAAAGCCTTGAATGCAAAGGCTAGGCACACGTAGATTGTACTGGGGACGAGCTGCATTACGTTTGGCATAATTGTGAATCTGATTAGATTAAGATTTTATACTAATTATAACAATAATATGATTGACCTCAAAGCGATACCATATTAAGTTAATGAAAATATTATAATTACTTGTTATGAGAATATTAATACTATGTTGTTTTAGTTGGTAGGTATTAAAAGATGATTAATCAAGTCAAATCAAATCAATCTTTATTGTTGATCGCAGGTTATATAAAGATATTGGATGCAAGGACTGAATAGTTACACCGTGATCTGCCTAAAAGGCATACAATATTAGTAGGTTAGTAATTGTCAACTAATCTAATCAATAACATGTTATGTCAAAAATTCAATTAATTCATTAAGTATTTATACATTTACAAAGTACTGTCAGCTAGATAGTCGTTTACACTATAATATGCTTTAGCTACTAATAATTTACAAAGTTTTCTATTAAAAACATTACAATTATCCAGATAACGTATTGTTTTCGGAATTTTATCAAAAATTTTTGGAGCCATACAAAAGATACTTTTGTTCAACACAGCTGTCTTAGAGGGTATCGTACACAATTTGTCTCGATGACGCAATCTCGTCTTATTTTCAAATAGTTGTTGATTCTGTTTGACAAAAATACCAACTTCGAATATATAGATTGATGGCAGGGTCATAATATTTAGTTTAATAAAATATGGCCTACAGGTACCCGTACTCTGTAAATGACATATGCTCCTAACACATTTTTTCTGGGCTCTAAAGGCAGTTACAGAATCAGTCGAATATCCCCAAAATATAATGCCGTATCGAACAGTTGAAACTACGTACGCGTGATAAGCTGTAAGGACCGTGCACTGATTCGCGATCCTACTAAGTTTGTACAGTGCACAAGAATACTGGGACAACTTTTTGCAAACATGTTCAGTGTGTGTTTTCCAAGTCAAATTTATTATTATAGTACTGATTTGATAAAAAAACGTGCTTGATTTATTTATGTCGTATATAATGGTATTTTTATATCTTATAGCTTAAATACAATGATGTCACAACTTACCTCGGTACCTGTCACAACTTACCTCGGTAGTAGGAGAGTTGTGACAAGGGGAGTGGACTTGAATTTTGTTATTTTTTTCAGAAACTATTATACTTTAATTAATTTTAGTGATGGTTTTGAAAACAGAAGGAATGGCGCTAAACTAATTCACATGAGTCATAACTGTGGAATGTTTCTTAAGCGAGATAGAGACCCTTATGTAAAAATTGTCACAACTCTCCTAGGTCTCCCCTACTCATTCGCTGCTACTGTAACATTACCTATCCTCACCTCAAATGAGTGGTGACTCGCGAGCCCCTCACGAGGGAAAATGAGGTCCTCACTCATCCTCATTAAAAAAGAGTAAGTAACACAACGCTAGTGACGTTACAATAAATTGGCAACAACCAGCGGCGGCATTAGGGAGTGGCGAACGGGGCAATCGTCCGGGGCCTCGCTCATCCGGGGCCCCGCGCAACAAGTCAAGCAAATTTAAAAATACATATATTTTTTTAACAATATTTTCAATTTAGAACTTTTTATTTTGACCCTTAATTATTTATGCAGGTTATATATTATAACATAGTAGTTAATTTAAATAAAGTTAGTTAACTAAATCATTCATTCTAAACATAATTGAATATCCCTTCGAACCACTTGAAGATCGGTTTTTTAATTGCATTACACTTTGTATAACCTAAGCATTTCTCCTCGAACATGACAAATATTTAACCCAACCTAACAACCAGACCTAATTTCGAATCACACACTTCTCACGAAGGACAAAGGGCCTCGTAAAGACCTGCCACCTGGAGCCTCGAAATGGCTAAGGTCGCCGCTGGTTACAACTAATTAAGGCCTTTCATTTAATAGAGTATTAAATGAAAGGCCTTAATTAGCACATAACATATATATATTGAGAGTTTTTCTTACGATTTTGCTTAAATACACCTAAAAATTAATTAAATAGATAATAAGTTTAAATACCAAAACCCTACTACAGCTAAATCACGCTCTTAAAAGTTTACAACGAGAAATTTATTATATAGCAGTAGATATAGTTGAGCAACGGACAGAAGTTATTTATAACATACTAATTGTTCTTTAATAATTATTCTTTAAAATGCATTAACAATTACCCAAAGTTTCCAATAAATAGATCATCTATATATCTATATATTATAATATATATCTATCTATATATATAAAAATGAATCGCAAAATGTGTTGGTAAGCGCATAACTCAACAACGCCTCGACCAATTTGGCCAAATCTTTTTTTAAAATGTTCGTTGAAGTTCAAGGATGGTTTTTACGGCGAGAAAAATTAGAATTATTGCTGGAAAAACCCTAAAAATAGCCCTTTTCTTTTTCCCATACAAATGATTTGTAACTAAAACGTAGTCAATTTGAGCTTTATTGCTATGGTATAAAGTTCATATTAAATTACAAGCACTCACTGTTGTCTAAGCAATGTAGGTGTGTTCCTAACGTCAAAGATCATATCTATCAAAACAATGTGCGTGTGTGCGTTGGAGCACAGAATACATAGTTGGAGGAGTTTAATGTCGCGTTCCGAAATTCGCGTTTCTTTTGTATTAGTTTCGGCACGCGAGATAAAATGCATCAGTTTCCACGTCATTACATGTATTGCCGGAACATTGATGAAAATACGCTCTGTAGTAGCAAAGCTGTTGGGTCCTAGATAGCTCATTGGTTAGAGCAGTCCCTGGATCGCGAATGGGTTCGAGTCCCATTCCGGGGTACAGGTAGATGGATTCTTCCAGCATTTTTCCTTGAGAATGTTTATATATTTTTTTAATTCGAATAGTTTACTTTTATAATGCTGTTGTGTGTAATGTGTTTTTATGATCATAAAAATCTCTTTTTTCTATATTTAATACTATTACTATTAATACATTGCAATAATAATTATGATTCACATGATTAACAATAAAGCGATTACTTACTTTTAAATCCTTATATATGTTTTATTTAATTATTTTTTATTCACAACGCCCTATCACCAGGGTGACGGTTCTGTTCAGGAGAATTTTTTTAAATACGTAGGCAAAAAAACTGCCACATTACAAATCTTTTTGACAGGACGAAGTCTGTCGGGTCAGCTAGTATATAAATAAAAATGAATTTTCTTTCGTTAGTCTCGCTAAAACACGAGAACGGCTGAACCGATTTGACAAATTTTAGTCTTGAAATATTCGTGGAAGTCCTGGGAAGGTTTAAACGATGAGAAAATATAACATAATTGAGAGTATAATACTAAAAACGACAATTTGATTTTCCCATACAAACTGTTCTTAGCTGTCAAACCTTCAGTTGACGGTCAATATTTATGGTCGTGTCGTGGTCAGTTTACGCAATATTTTTCAATATTAATATGGTTTTTATTAAGAGGTCAGTGATACGAAGTTCACCGGGTCAGCTAGTAGCTTATAAATATTCAGTCATACAAAAACATTACCATATAACAGTAAATAAACAAGAACATGTGTTTGTATAAATGGTCATAGAACATTTATTTATTTTTTTACATAATAGGAATCATCTGGGTATCATTTTCTGGGTAAAAAAGAAATATATTTATTCCGTCTCAGTCAGATAAAAGAAAAAAAGCAGTATTTTTGCATCAATTCAACAAGAAATGGCTTAGATAAAATGCATTGAAGTTTTCAATGATTTTTCAACTCAATATATCGCCGTAATTTACTGAAATCGAAAAAGTTTTTTCAATGCAGTTGCTCATAAAGCGCTAATTTTTTTATCCATTGTAAATACCGAAAGTGAGTCTTTAAACACGTGTTAAATAAAAATGAACTGAAATCCTTTACTGCACACGTGCTTAAAAGTATTTTTTTAATTTTTTTTTTGGCCGAGCACCAAAGAAATAAAAAAAATTGATGAAAATATGTCAAACTTTAGAGGCAAAAGTATTTCAAGGAGCCTAGAACGAATATTTTCAAATAAAAATGTATGACACGAAAACATGTTCAAATATCACGTTTAATTTTTACCATTAATACATACTTAGTTTTATTTACCTATATATTTGTTTTATTTCCTCTCAAAAAGCATTGAAAAATGTTGTAAGAAACTTGAGCGTAAAAGGTTTTTCGAGTATGACACGAAAACATGTTCAAATATCACGTTTAATTTTAACAAATAATTTTTACCTTTAATACATACTTAGTTTTATTAACCTATATATTTGTTTTATTTCCTCGCAAAAAGCATTGAAAAGTGTTGGAAGAAACTTGAGCGTAAAAGGTTTTCTGAATTCGTGCCAATGAAAACCCTCGCTACACTCGTGTTTTCAATTTGGCCCTTATTCGTAAAACCTTACTTTCTCCACTCGTATCTTAAATAACTATTTGTTTTTATAACAAAAGTAGCTGGAACCCGCGGCTTCGGCCACGTGGTCCGAGGGTTTATTATGCGGTGTGCACACTGGCATGCTGTACTGGAGTATTAAGCTAATCTTAATTAAAAATCTGTCAGTGAGCATCTATAACATCATCATTAGCTTAATTCAGCATCTTACTGTTGCGGCATAGACCTAGGTGTTTCTGTGGATAACGCACAATGCGCATTTCTTCATATAATTGACACACTCTGCAAGAATTACAAACAAATGTTTTCTTTGAAAATAGTCCTTTTGTTGAAGTCGTATAATAATTACGCTGTCATTTTGTTTGGAGATATTTGACTACTGTGCTTATTCTGGACTTAAAACAGTCTGATGTTTTTTTTGTGCAAGATTATCAAAGCAACTTGTTCTTACTTTCTCAATTTAGCATTTCCAGAGATTATAGTGCGTGACGCGAAATAAAATTTTGACAACTTTTCGTTCACTCAATGTTTTTTACGCCCAATTTACTATTTAACTCGGATTCTTTGAATTATAGTTGCTATTTGAGATAAAACTGGTTCCTAGCAGTAGATAGTAGCTCATTTCAACTAATTTTTTTATTTTCAGTCGTTCATAATTATAGGCAGTTTAGTACATTTTGCGCAAAAGTAATTACCGCCCCTCGGAGAAGTATTAAAATATCTCGTTAATATATGGGTGATAATTTTTTTTTCGTCCGATGAATAAAAATATATTATTAAAAAAACCCGGGCAAGCGCAAGTTGGACTCGTGCACGAAGACTACCGTACTATTATCCATAAAAAAATGCAAAAAAAACATGTTTGTCGTTTTCAAAGGTCGACTATTACCTACTCGTAAATTTGTAAAGTCAACTTGAGTGTGATAGTATTCCTATTAAATTCGTTATATATAAATATACTCTTACTACTGGCGTAACGTTTGAGTTTCTAACAATAACCCTTTAGTTGGTATAGGACTTTTGACTCGCTTTTAAGCATAAGTCTTACAAATGAAGCTTTAAAAAGTAATATTTTTTTCCATTTTTGTAACTTTTTCATTGCTGCTCCACTCCTACTCAATTTGTTCCAGTAGTTTCTGAGATTATAGAGTTCAACCAAACGCATAAACAAATAAACTCTTCAGTTTTTTTATTTGTATACATAAGTGATTCGCCGAATACTTTAAATCGGCAAATAAATATTGGTCACCCATTTATTCTGCATAGCACATCGAATGCGCTGACCACAGCGCCATCGAACTCCTCAATTTTAAATTTGCCCATTATATTCCATTATAATTTTTTTTACAGAACAATGAAAGTACCCAGATACACCAACGATGCCGTCCATTGGTTCATAAACGAGCTGACGTCCAGAATAGTAGCAGAGTCAGGAATACCCAGTGACCGTTATCACTTAGGCAAAATACTAATACAGAGCCTGAAAGATGCTCCAGATTTTCTAACACAGGTTAATCTTACACACAGCAGCACGTCCGGTTACCATAATATATCAATCAAGCTATTCTCCCGTGATTTCGATGATGTAGCTTACCGTAGAAGAATTTTCATGATCGGTGCAACATTTCCAAAGATTTCCCAGAAACAAACAAAACTTAGAAACTTTACGTCTATTTTAATATTGGTTTAGTTTTTGCTCAATAGATTTTGAATACTTCTCTTATTACATTAAATCTGACGAACTTTGAATTAAAATTTAAAAAACCCTCTTTTAAGACGATCTGTTTTTATACATAGTCTCGATAATATAATATTCGTCATTATATCTATCTCCTATTTTTGGTTATCCTATAAATTACTAAATCCACCAAAGCAACTTACACTTCACACTTTTCCATAAAAATAGACCCTGAGTCCCCCGTCTATTAATGTCTCCACTGCTGCTGAAACAGATTCGATAGGGAGGATAGGTTAGACCCACTAAGCAACAACGTGGGTCCAGCGTGGATTGGCGTTGCAAATGCTGGAGACATCATTACAACGGGGAGACCAAATTCGATTTTTAATGTTCCTCACTGCAAAACACAATATGGTTACCAAAAAATTCTAGTCAACGATTTAAATTCCAAATGAAAACATACTTTATATTAAGCCTTTTTAGATCGATGGAGCTACAGACGAGAGAGAAAACAATAGCTCTGTATTGGAGCGTACGGTACGTTGTGCCAATGCAATGAAAGCGGCTAGTCTTAAAGTTGGAGATGTGGTAATTTTGATGGCGCCTAACCACATAGACCTGGTGATACCTTTTTACGCGGCTCTATACCTCGGCGTCATCGTAGCTGCTGTAGATAGGACTTTGGGTATCCGTATGTATGAATATATTTTTCAAACTCTAACACATACAAAAGTTCTCAAAAACTTCTTCCTAATTGTATAAAGACGGTTTTACATTTGACTTTTTTGGTTGAAATGATGATATTATTAGGTTTTCCAAATAATCTGTAAAGAAATAGACTTTTGTTAAGTTTCTCTATAATTTTTAATGGAAGAACCCCAAATAAATGAAGTCAATTGATCAAGTAGTTTTACGAATTACTTTAAAGTAGGGCAAGTTTAGTCTACTGATATATTTTCCATGTTGTTGTTTTAACTGAAGTTTTCGCCATTTCAGAGGAACTCCGTAATTCTTTCAACATCAACAGACCTAGAATGGTGTTTTGTCAAAACGAAAAAGTGTCAGATATTCAAAATGCTCTTGATGGACTAGAACTCGATACACTCATTGTCACGTTTGATAAGGGTGATCTTTGTAGTTTCAATAAATTCCTTGAGCGTGGTATAAACGGTCCTAGTGTAAACGAATTCAGGTAAGAAGAAAATTTCTCATGACGTCAATATATCCATACAGAAATTGAGGAAATCAAAGAATTTGATTAACCAATTATTTAAATATGCTGTATAGTATTAGTTACAATCAAATAAAAACTACTTCAAATTTATTTTATAAGGGTGTTATTGGATTGAACCTGCTGCCGCAGCACTTTACTTCAACGATGCGCTAGAAGCTACGTTCGGTGCTGTATCTTTAGAGAATACCAGTTGAAATTATAAGTTTCATAAAATTAATAACTCTACGTCCATAAAAGATACTGATATGCATCCGTCTGGTGGTACTGGGGGCCAATTCTACTAATTTACAACGCTAGATCATCATTAGCGTTTCTATAACGGTTCCGTTTTGATTGTTGCTGTCACAGAACATAGAGAGAGATGTAGTAAGTGGGCGGGACACGCGTCGCTGGCATATGCGTTTTTACTCATATGACGCCCTTTCCTCGGTTTTACGTTTGTCAGTCGTCAATCGTCGAGTGGTGATTTTACAGACTTTTTCTATAAAAAATGCCGTTTTATGCTATTATCACTTGCAAAAAGCATAGCAAAGTATACAATCTAACTAATGCAAACATTTCCTTTCACTGATAAGTAGGTACAATTTTAGTGCTAAAATATAAAAAAACGTAATAATTTGACACAATGTTAAATAAAATATACATTGATTGCTCAAACTAACATCAATGTTTCTGACCCCATTACTAGACAGCAATGTAAATCATTTTGTGCACTTTTGCAAAAAAATAGTGCTTTTGTCTGAAATGTACCGATAGGCTGCTGCTGCTCGGAATCGTATTGTTAATTATATGGATTGTAATCGATAACTAAAACATATTTATTTAGAGCTTTTCTTTCATCATTTCATAACAACGTTATGGATAAGTATATGCCATAATTATATAAAACTAAATAATACTGTTTACAAGGGAAAATAATAGATGAACTGATACTGAACAAATGAAATAATGAACTATCCAGGCACTTTTTTATGAAGATTCGGTCAATTATTTACACGCAGATAAATATAAAAAAATACTGATGTGCTATAAATATCTAAGTTACGAAGTATATCACCGTTTTATGAACAATACATAAATCAAACGAAACTTCGTGAAAAGCTAAGAGAGTTGGCCTAATAGGTCTTATTAGAAACTGGTGAAACTGGATTTCACTTATTTGCATTACTTATATTTCAGTTTCCCTAATAACTTTACAACGGATTGCCCTGTTTACATAATTTATTTTGCCCTATCCGTTTTAGACCTAAACCTATCAAATGAATTTCAAAACAACATAATATCTATACAAACAAAACACTAACGCAATATTGTTGGTGGTGTGAATTTAATTTATAGGCGTGAATTTAATTTTATTATGCTGATTCAAAATCGGAAGCCATTATTATAGAAATCGAGTTAAGATAGCCACTTAAAAGAACCGCCCACAGAACAGCTTTTATCAATATTTTTTTTGCTCAATATTTGCACAAAAGTTTATAGACGCATGTCTCAAACGGATGTGACTTTATTATGTAGATTGACTTATGTACGTACTTATCGCTTTTGTGTCTGTCTTCAAACTTTTTTTGTCATGGCTTTCAAACTCATACTTGAACAGCGATTCCTTATTGTCCAGCCGTTGCAATTAATAATGTAGGTACTATTATTATTACAGATATACAACTTCGAATAATAAAGTAAAACAAATATGGCTTTGACATGGTATGATCAATTTATTATTGTAATGATCATGTTAGTTATTATGAAATGAAATGAAAATATCTTGTAGGCTATTACAAGCACTTTTGAATCGTCCAACAATTTTTTTTCCCCTACCACTTGTTCAGGACGTCTTTTAACTGACAAGAAGAACAAGCGAAAGAAACTTACCAGCTCTTTGTCATAAGTAATAACATTTACATAAATCATGTCATTTCATATCAAATCACAATAATAAATAAACTTCCAAAGTCTGTAGGACATAGGTTGAACATATAATTAGTCATTAAAGAACAAAGTGAAGGCTATTAATTCCATGCATTGCGATCCTTAAAATAATCATCAAGGTCAACTACATTTTGTGGAACTTTATTGAACATAACAATGCATTTACCCAGAAATTATCCTTTGGTTTTCTGAAGTCTGAAGCTTGGAACGGCAAGTTTATTTTTATTTCTTGTGTTAAGATTATGAACACTACTTTTTTTTGTGAAGGAATCGTAATGTTTTCTTGCGTACTCATATTTTCATAGATGTATTGAAATGCAACAGTCAATTTTTTTTTCATATTTCTCTGAGAGATTCTCTAGACCGTAAATTATATATAGCGCGGACAGCTCTCTTTTGTACAATAAAAATACCTTGAATACTAGCCGCAGAACCCCACAACAATAGACCATACGTCGTTACACTATGAAAATAACTAAAATATACCAATCTTGCCGTTTCATCATTTGTCAAGAGTCTAATTTTCATAACAGCAAAACTGCAGAACTCAGTTTACTTGACAAATTATCAATATGAGGATCCCATTGCAGTCGGGAATCTAGTGTAATACCAAGGAACTTTGTCGATTCCACCAACTCAACTTTTTCACTATTTACATTTATAAGCATTTCGTTTTATTTGAATTAAGCATTATATTATTACTATCAAACCACTGTAGAACATTGTCGAACTGAATTACATTTAACTGTTTCATAACAATATTTAAAGCTCTTATTTTATCAACTAATATTATGTCCCATCACTAATATGCACAATCGGAATGATACCAGTAAGAAAAAAATACAAATTAGGCTTAATGTGATTAATACAAAAATCTGTTGTTTTATTATTTTTTGTTTTTTTTTTTTACACTTTCCCTCGCCTAATTATATTACTGCACAGACATATGATAGAGTTTATCATTAAGTTTTCTTAGTTTTTGCACTGCGATTTTTTATTAGATATTTTATTAAATTATATAGGGAAAAGCGTTATTTTTCACTGTTCACTTGGTTACAGCAAAATCTAATCTTAATAGTTCGCACATAAAATGATGTCCCCAATTTTTTAAAATGTGCATAATCTTAAAAAAAAAATCCCTTCTGGTATCCCCGTATACAAGCTGGACAGTCACGTGACAGTTCAACATTCATGTTAAAGTAAATTATTTATTATCACGTTAAATTAGAGTTTGTTTTTAATCGTGTGATTTCTTAGGTTAGTATCTTTTTGGGATTTTGTTTATATTATCGCGAACGTATCGCGTGGCGGCTTCTCATGTAGTGAACAAAATGATCATTTCATCTAATCTGTATTTGTGTGCGGAGAGGCGACACTCGGTTCCCATACTAAATTAATATCATTATACTTCTAATCACTCTATATGTTCTGTGGTTGCTGTAAATTTGTATTCTGCTAACATCAATTATCAAACGAACGTTTACTGCCTCTAAACGTTTACCCTTGTATGAATCCATCTTGCAATTGACCTATTTACTACTTTTTACAACATTAATCCCAAGATTTTTTAAGGCCTACCGATTTCAACCCTGAAGACACCATAGGTTTACTAATTGCTACAAGCGGTACAACGGGTTTACCGAAATCTGCTGCAGTAACCCATAAAAGTTTAGTCATAAGTGGACCTTATTTATGGCAAGTATTTTCAACAAGTACCTAATCAAATACCGTAAAATCTCTTTCAGCATAAAATTTTTAAGGCACTATAATCGTCGTTTAATATACGAGCCAGTTGTAATTGCTGGACAAGGTTGTCATACTTTCATATTTGATAAAAAACAAACAGAGATAAATCACCAACGATCGGTACATATCTGACTGAAAGTGCGTTACGTCTCGTCGATCGCAGAATATCAGAATAATTGGGCCATTTTTCACTCAGCAGATGGCGCGACAGTCGCGAGAAGTCCTATCAGTTTTTTTTAACTACGATATTGAAATTAAATCATAATTATACATAAATAAACCATTTCATTATAGATATCGAACTTGCCCACTAAACATTAACCTCTACTTAATTAAGCTGTTCTTACATCCCGTCTCTTTTTCCTAGCTCCGCTTTTGAAGCACTGATATTCGTTGACCCGTAATTCATAATTGCTGTAATGAAGCTCAGGTATTTAAAAATAAGCGCAAATCCATTTTTTTTAAGAACAAAAACGCTACACTATTGCCTAAAGTGGCAAATAGAAACACGTTAGCCCTCATTGATAAGATACTTCCTTGAAATGATTAACGGATATTCCGTCATGATAAACACCGATCTCAAAAGTTAGCTCAATAACGACATGGAAGCCCCAGAAGGATATACGTTCATGGAACCAAAAAGTATATTGTAACCGGTTTGAAATAAATAAAATTAATCTTGAATACTTCAATAGTCAAAGAGTCAATAAGCTACGTATATTAATAACTTGTTTAGTTTATTGCTTACAATAAATGACGTTCTGTGAAGAATTAATTTTAGCTGCAAAGGCTGAGAATAATTATAAAAATATGGCTATTTATGAGACATAGATCCTTGTGTAATTATATTTTAATATTTTCCCACAAATATAGTTTTTTAAACTACTCAAATCACAGCAGCATTTGGCAATGTCATAGTGTACTCGGATTGATACCTCTCACCTAAAACATGAAATTATATGAATAGTAGAAAACGTATTGGTTAGCCTATGAATATTATTATGATGATCGGTATTCGTAAACAATTTTGATACACAGGTCGAGATTTCATAACTTTCCAACGCCTACGAAAATAGCACTGGTCGGATCACCGCTGCAATGGATGTCAGCCCTAGTTAATTTCTATCTATCTACAATTTTCCGATACACAAGGTTGCAGTCATCAATGGATTTGACGCAGAAACATGCTTACCACTTGATCAACACATACAGAGTAAGTAAATTCACAATTCATAAAATAAAACACAGAATAAATGGTATCGTAATTTATTTTAAGGACACGAACAAGGTAGGTGTAGCTTTTATTGCCAAACGAAAAAACAAACAAATCATATGAGATAAATTTGAGAATTCTATTGAATTAAATATACGAGCACCTATACTCGCCGATTTATCAAAATAAGGTATTTGACTAATTTTGTAAATTAGTTTTAAATTATTCTTTATCACAAAATAAGTACATTACATTAATATACGGAAAAATTAACTGTATTTATCAATAAAATCAAAATTGTAAATTTCCGAAACCTCGTGGAAAACGCTGTCTGTTATATGCCGCCATTAAATAAAGTAAATAAACAAACCTCATCAAACTAAAATCGTCAACAGGAAGTTTACTAGCAGGTGACGTCATCCGAGTTGTAACCACTTACAAGGCGTTTTCGTCTCAGACAAAACGTCAAAAAATATTTGATTTTATTTTGTGTAATCTACAAAAACTATATCTTATAGGATAACCACTTTTTTTTATAATTATACTGTTGTCAAATACCCTATTCTAACACGACCTGTTAATCATTTGCAAAGTATAAAGAAAATACGTTTTATATAGACAAAAGTACGATTAGCTGCAGCTAGACCATATGGCAATACATAATGTTGCTGAAGAGCTACATCAACGTTCTCTACAACCTGAAGAGAAAATTTAAGAAATCAGTCCCTGAACACAAACAGACAATCGAATATAATAGCTAGCATCTACTGGCATCCTTCAAAGTGCGAAAAGGCCTTTAGAACTAGAATGGTGCCAATATTTTTTTCCAATTATAACGATACAACAGGAAACTTTCACTATTATTAATGTAATCCTTATTTTTTTCAGCCTACTTTCACAATATTCAGTCCAACGGCAATGACGACTTTGCTAAAATCAGATGATCGGGATCAATGTGACTTCACGTGTTTAGATCTAATCATGCTAGGGGGTAGTGCTGTCCCTCGAGATCTTATTGAAGAAATTAAGGTAAAACACACGAAGGAAATTCAATTCAAACAATAAATTCCATTTGTTTCTTTAAAATCGCGAAATCTACAAAGACAGATGAGCAGTGCAGTGGCCTCATTGTATAATTTCATAATCTGTCGTGATCCCTTTTAAAGGCATACCTTTTATGAAATTATGTAACGAAAAAAACGCAATTGCTTTCCGAACAAAAACTATTCTAATGATTTATTAGGTATATTAAAAAACTAAAAACTTTTTATCATGTTTCTTCCATAATAAAATTTTTGGTAACTTAAACTCAATGTAATATTTGCGTGTATTTCTTAGCTTAGCGTGTAGCTCGTGAATATCTTCAAAATATCAATATCATCAAATGTCAAATTAAAAGGATTGCGATAAATTTTAAAAATCAGACATTTAGACCCCTGATTGACCTATTTAATCCTAAATCAATCTTGATTTGTCTGCCGACTGTTGATTTGTCTGCCTGGCAGATAAATGATGGCTTCAGTTATGCAGAAGCAGCTGTAATTGACTTCATTGCTTTATAGATTCTGCCCCCTGATTGTCTAATTTTAAATCTATTGCAATCGCTTTCAGTTTGAAAGGTGTTGCACAACCATTGCTGCATAATACAAATACTTTTTTTTCAACTGTCTTCAGAAACAAGCAATGGTTATACAACATCTTTCAAACCGAAAGATTTTAAAGTTAGACAATTAGGCCCCAGGTCTTGGTAAATAAATAAACTTACTCTATTGGCGACTATTGATTTAAGGCGACCAACCGGAAATTATGAATATCGTCAGTTATAAAATCTAAACCTACGTTTAGAACCCTAATAAACAAGGATAAATAATAGATTTTGGTGCTTTCAGAAAATAATACCAGAAGCAGAGGTGACAGATACATATGGAGCGTCAGAATTGATAACACTTGTGTTCCAGAGCGACAATGCTCCACATGGATCTTGTGGAAAGCCCGTAGGATGCTTTCAATACCGTGTCAGTATTAAATACAAATCAGGAATATCTGAAATTTATTTTGCAACACTGCACGACGGACGACCGGAAGACTTTCAGTGTACCCACTTCTCCCAACTAGGTCATTCGGACAACTTTCTAAAGAGTGTTTAAAATTAATAATTATGAACGCTTATTTCTGTTAAAAATCAAGTGAATTATTAATATTATTTTCCACATCCTAATATTTTTCGCGCTCAGATAGTTTTATTACTAATTTACCCATAAATGACGTCACGCGCTCTGATTGATGTATCATTTGACGCAGACTTCAAATATTGAAAAATTATATGTCTCTTTATAAATATAAATAGTTGTTTTTTAAATAGCAAAAATAATCGATGAAAAATCATTAAAAGTTATTTTTTTTTTTAAGCACATACAATTTAATTTTTCATATACAATTTAATTGAAGTCTAATATTATTATATTTATATCTGTCACCATTGATGTGTAAAGAAGACATTGCACTAATAATATTGGACTTAAGGTAGACAGTACAATGGTAAAAGGCAAGTCGTTTAGATTCTATTGAGATGCGATTATTATGTGAACATTAGCAGAATTGGCTTACAGATCGTCAGTCCAACTAGTTAGGAACCCTTAACGAGAACTCGCTTAATTGATTGGAAGATCATTTAAACACACACGGCTGCACATCAGGTTACCACAATATGTTAAATTTCTATAATGACTTTCGACAAGACAGTTTGGTATAACCTGACGTACGATGACTGTACATTAAAGAATTATTCATTCATTCACGTCAGATCTCCGCACTTGGTTTTGAACTCTATTCCTCTTTAATCGAATGGAGAAACTAATCTTCAATGACCTGGTGTTGACTGCACCTATTAAATATGGCTACCTTTTAACACGATCGAAGCGGCACCGATTTTTCTGTTCTTTCCATTCCTGCGGTACAGGGCGTTTTCAACCTGGCCATAAAGCTATCATTGTGGTGGTACTGGGCTTATAAAACCCTATTGAAGAAATTAATTAGCTTAATGTTAATAAATTCTATTGATTTTTGTCTTAAATATTATAAATAATAAACTGTTTTATATGAATTAAGGCGTACGTGAACAGCTTATTTAGTTTGGAATCTGTAGCTAAAATAAAATATAAGATCTTATGTTTAAAATATAAGATTTTATCGTTCTCTGTGACATTTCGACACGTGCGTTCTTTCGAATGTGATCACAACACTGGCCATGTAAAGCTAGCGCAGGGTGCGGTACCAGGTGCGCGGGGGTACAAGGGCTATTCGACCATGTTTCGCACTGTATTAATATTTAATTACTTACGTGCGGTACCAGATTTAGGAAACCCGGTATTAAGGTGGGTACACCATCAGATTCTACTTTATTACCCAACTAATCTAGATGTATATTTATCTCTTTCCTACACCGAACCAAACTGAAGTTATGCCTTTCGTAAGATAGAGAAGTCTATGTTTTTCTTAGCCGCACTGCAAGCGAATCATTGACTAGGTGTTTCAAACCTGGTTCCGCACTCAACGTGTTAAAAATAACGTCAATCAATAATCATCTGAATAAGAAATAGTGTTAATAAATTGCATAACTCTTTATTCCAGTTAATAAATGTTGAAACAAAAGAAGATATATTTGAGCCTCGTGTGCCTGGAGAATTATGGGTTAGAGGGCCTGGTATTTTTAAGGTAAGATTTGTAGCTGAAAATTAGATGACAACAAAATAATGCAAAGGTTAATTCAAACCTTCAAGGTTCAAGATGGTTTTAATTACAATCACTGATCTTCTGCTTTAGCGGTACAGAAAATTTCTCTCTAATTTATTTAGTAATAAGTTGGTTATAAACTGTATTATGAGCTGACAAATGGTGTGTAAAATTAGAAAAAAATAAACAATTGCGACAAGCGCTCTATTGCTGACTGTGCACCTTAATCTTTTATTGCAGGAATATTATAATAACCCTAAAGCAACTGAAGAAGCATTCGCTGAGGGTCGCTGGTTCAAAACTGGGGACATGTTTTATAGAGATGAGAACTGGAATTTTTTCTTCGTCGAGAGAATTAAACTGTTACTAAAATATAGAAGTTATCAGGTGAGCATTCTCTGATTCTTTGTTCTCAGTTTTCCCATCGTACCTTATTTCATGCAAGGTGAGTAGGTGAAAGGATCTTATAAGTTAACGAACATAATTCAGTCACTATAATTTTGTACAATATCAATGCTTTTACAACGATGTATACGACGTCAAGTTCTGGGGTGATTTTATTATAGAATAGCACTTTAGCACAAAGGTGTAAAGGATACCTGCTTTTAATTATTTTAAGACGACCAACATCTACTCTCATCTAATAATTTTCAAATATACATGTAACCCGCAGATATCACCTGTTGAAATAGAAGGTGTGATTCGTCAACACCCAGGAATACTGGACGCGGCTGTAACGGGTATTCCAGATAAGGAGCACGGCGATTTACCTGTCGCTTGTGTGGTCAAACGGCCTGGCCACAATGTCACTTCACAGGAAATCAAGGATTTAGTGAAAGGTTTTTTTTTCTATTGTATTTTTTTATCAAACAGCTTTTCCTGCGACTACGCCCGCGTAAATTAACCGCGTCACATATATTTGATGGATAAATGACTAACATCTATTTTCACTAACCAAGAACAAGGCGTAGCTTAGTTAGGAAACGCCTAATATTACGAATCGCCTAAACAGATTACTTTAATTCCAAATAAATATATGCGATTGCTTAATTGCGTTAGGTGGTTCCTAGTCAATGGTGAAATGCATTTTTACCTTAGGCGATTCCTAATTATTAAGGGCGACAGATTTGGGTGGCTCCTAAGTATAGTGAAAACGGGCATAAGTTAGTAACACTGCAGTTAAATCAATAATCATCATTCTTTATCATATGTTCATCGTTATTTAAGTTAATATCAAAGTAGTAAAATAAAACGCATTATACGCCACAGCACCGTTAAGATGTTGTCCTATCTAATGCCCAGAGAGCTAGGCGGTCCTCCTGTTACACTCTGTGACCTTACAATAATTCTACAGTTTTTTGAACATTATATTACAATCACATCATAAATTATTTGTGAGAATTGGGTATTCTATTATTTTTGAAATAATAGTTGTAACTCTTTATTGTAATTAGAAAAAGCTATAACACATTTTTTCAGAAATATAAACACGTTTAATTAACTTAAAATCAAATCAAAATTTAAACTTTTTTTAATACCCATGACGTTTCCTGTCATGTTCATGACGTTATTGTGATATGTATCCATAACAGATGCTTGTAGTAAAATATTAAATGTTAATAAAATAAGAACAATGTCATCTAACGATCGAGTAATAAATAAAAATATATAAATAACCTAAGAACACAGCCATCTAGGAGTTTGATTTATTAAGTTTTGATTTTTACAGCCAAAAAATCAAATCTTAATTTTAAGATAATTATATGATCGTGTGATTGTAAGACTGAAAATCTGAATCTCTACGTTTATTATGATCACCAGCCCTTTTACGTCCCCACTGCAGGAGCTCAGGCCTTCCTTATGGATGGTTAAGGAGGATGGGCCATGACCCTCCACGCTGGCCCAATGCGGATTGGAGGGTATTAACGACTGCAAATGCAGCCGGGACCAACGGCTTAACGTGCCTTCCGAAGCACGGAGTAGCTCGGAATAATATTTTTTTTTTGGTCACCCATCCCGTGACCGACCCTTGCGAAAGTTGATCATGAAACGACTACGATCGCGGGCCGGCGCTTATCCACTACGCCACCGAGCTACTTATGATGTTAATTGTTATTTTTGTGCAATTTCATGTCTAATTTTTCACTACCGAAACTTCATCATTAAAAGTGATTTCGATACATAGAATAGTTTCGATAGGTATCATGATCAAATTATGAGATGTGACGTAACTTTTGAGTTACATATATTTGTATATGTAATTACTTTTACTCGACTATAGATACGGGTGTAAGTCATAGTTAATAATGATTTAACATTATAAATCATTCACTAACCTTAAATTGAATGGCATATTCCTTTTGCTACCTTCATGATCGATATTGATTTGAAATTAAACGACTAGAATGGGCCAACCACTGGGTAATTTCTTGCACGGTCAATATAAAAAAGTAACTTACTTGTCTTAGATTTCCATGATATAATCCTACTACAGATTGGTGGTTGTTAATGACTGCAGATGCAGACGACACCAACGACTTAACGTGTCTTCCGATAGGTATTCGGAGAAACTCTGGCAAATACATTTTTCACTATCCTATCAGTACTATACCCTTGCTAGGGTTGTTAAATCTGATTTAACCCAAATAATCTGTTTAATATCTATTTATTTATTTAATGTTTCAGAGTCACTGTCTGACGCGAAGCAGCTTAGAGGTGGCGTGATCTTCTTAGATGAGATACCGATGACAGCATCTACAAAAGTACATAGAAGAAGACTCAAGGAAATTGCAATGAACAAAATATAAAGATATAGTGTTAGCATGGATTATTAGTCTCTAGTGTTGATTATTGTTATAGTGAATTTAATAAAAAATCTTTTGCAGATTTTGTGAGCGTGTAAATTTTTTACGTAAGCCGCTTTTCCAGATTCAGTTCCCAAAATGCCCTGGTGGATTTTTAAGTTTTTTTCATTAGATAGGGGAACCTTGGACAGAGTTGTACCTAAAACAATCATATTTTATTTTTAAATCTTGCGCTTTTAAAAACATTTGTCTATGGTATTAGATACGTCATTTGTCAATATTAACGTGAAATTAGATACGATAAGCCGGCGCCGTGCGAGCACAGTTAAAAACTTACGATATACCTTGGTCACTGGCCAAGGTACTAGGTGGATTGAAAAGTTCGCGGCCTGACACATAAATACTTAAACTATTTCAATGTAACTGTCCTCATTCGTTTAGTTTACTTTCTGGTTGTCAAATTGTAAATGCTACCGCAATAACATTAAGTGTATTTAAATTAGACTGAATTTTGTGAGCCTTTATGCAGCATTTTTAAAGAATGAAAAAATTGAGCAACGTGCGGTCATCAAATACCTGTTTAAAAAAACTAACTCCAAAAGAGATTCACGAAGATATGTCAACAACATAAAGGGAATGTGCTCCGTCGTATACGACTGTGAAAAAGTGGGTTACTGAATTTAAACGAGGACGAGAGAGTATTGAAGATTGTCCTCGCTCTGGCCGGCCTATGACGTCTACGACTGAAGAAAACATCGGGAAAATCTGTGATCTGATATTGACAGATCAGAGATTGACCATCAGGGAGATTGCAGACACTATTGGCATCTCGTATGAATGAATACAAAACATCATAGTCAATGAACTTGGATTTTCTAAGGTTTCTGCGCGGTAGGTACCCAGATTGCTTTCAGTCGAACAAAAACGAATACGCCTCACGATTTCTCGCGACTGTTTGGAAATGTTTGAGACTGATCCACAAGATTTTTTATCCAGATTTGTAACAATGGATGAAACTTGGGTACACCACTCCACCCCAGAGTCAAAACAGCAGTCCAAGCAGTGGAAAAAACGTGATGAACCGACTCCAAAAAAAGCCAAAACAACTTTGTCAGCTGGCAAGGTGATGACGTTAGTTTTTTGGGATGCTAAAGGTGTCATCATGGTGGACTACCTTGCAAAAGGTGAAACTATAGACTCGGCTTATTACTGCACTTTATTATTAAATTTTCATCAAATAAGTAGGTCGAAGCTACGGTGGGTGACTTTTTGAAGGCCGTGAAAAAACTTTTTTTATAACCGGCATACAGGCGTTGGAAACCAGATGGAAGTCCATAGAGTTAAGTGGAGATTACGTGGTAAAATAAAATTACTTTTGCTTATATTGTTTTCTTGCTAAGGCCGCGAACTTTTCAATCCACCCTCGTACATCATTTTGGTCATTAATACAGCGAACAATAATTTACTTACGTTTTTATAATAATGGTATTCTTATTAAAAAAAAACAAATTGGCTATATTGTTAAAGGTAAAATGGCGCGAAGTAAGGAAAAAATTAAGACTTATGATGATACAAAAATAATTGAAAAAGCTGTTAAACACATGATGAAAGAAGGCACCTCAGTGCAAGATTTGCGCGGAAATCTGGCAGTCAAAAAAGTTTTTAATGAAGAGCAAGATAAAATGCTAGTGGACTATATGAAAGAAGCAGCAAACCTTCAATTCGGATTGACTTTAATCTCTAAGTCTATCTTCTCACCGTTCACTCGTCGCAACCGATAATTATATCTAGGTATATGTTTCATATGAAAGAAATTATTTGAAATTATTTTTTTTTTATTTGAAATATTTAATTTACGAACTAAGTAAGAAGTCGGTTTCTTTATAACAACCGCTGTTACCGTTAACATAGGAAATTTTGTAATAATTAATTTTAACTACACTATTATTTTCTTTAGTTTCAACACCGCCTACGCCTACAATAGGTAGGTACGAGTACATTTGAGTAATGTCGCTTTAAACCTTAACGTATCACCAAATGTGCTTTAATTATGATATTTGGGAACCGAGATCGAGTAATGCCCGAACAAGCATAAATGAATTTTGAGATGATTGAACTTCAATTATAACTGTAGGTAATATAACATTATCAATTAGTTTTGGTTCCAAAGCGACATTACAAAACTGCAATTGCTATTCTGCATTAGTGCTCTGAAGCTGTGAGACTCCAGCGTTCGTATTTCTGTACCTCCTGTGGCCCGCTATACGATCTACCAGCCTCCGCCGCGCCAATATTATTATTAATACGTTGGCGATAATGTGATGAGCATAAACCGTTAGTACTATACGCACGGGCCGATTGTTCGCCGAGCATTGATGTTTCACGCGTCTCATACTGACTGACGTTTATGTCGCGCCGAGCCGCCGCCGCCCGCCGCTATGATAAACTGGTTTGGTGGTTGGGAGCCACGGTCCGATGATGTATTAAAAAACGCGTGCCGAGTAGGAGATTCTGGACGCGGAATATGCATTGTACATATTAATTTATTATAACCGATATTACCACATGTATTACATGGTATTTTACTATTACATGACCCAGCATTACGTTGTCCGCAACATTTAAAACATTAGCGTGAATTCTTACTAACATTATAAGACATCTTTTGAAATTTATAGCATTCGAATATATTGTGCCCCGTAAATTGACAATATAAACAACTTCGCTCGAACAAGATTATTGTGAGTGATGAGACCTGGGGGCCAATTCTACTAAATAAATTTTGTTTAAATCGAATCGAAAACGGATCGAAACCGAATGAAACTACAGTTTTTAATGGTTTTCCTATTCTACAAAGTGACATACGATACAATTACAGTTCAATTCCATACGATACAATTGAAAACTGTAGTTCAGTTCGGTTTCGATCCGTTTTCAAGTAGTTATTGTTAAATCAATGAATCCGAAGTCGCTTTATCTATCAATCTACATTCACTTTACAAGAACTCGTTTAATTGATTGAAAGTGGGCAAAGACACCGTATTTCCGCCATACTTATGCTCAAACCGAGACATAACATCTAGAGGAAGTTTCATAAGACTGATATATAATAATAAATAACTCTAATCATTTACGGGAAAGCCGAGATTAGTAAAAGCGCGCGTAGACTCTAATAAAGGGTTAAGTATTTTTGTCCGGAGATTTAAAATATTATTTAGACACGGCAAATTCAATATGCGTGAAATATGAAAAGCCGATAATAATATTTTATTAGCGTACCTACTTTTTAAAATATCCATAGCCACGTCTAATGATTCATCGACCATTGGTAAATGTTTTATTAAATCCCTAGGTTCCTTTTGAACGTTAAAAATTAAATAATGAAATTTTTCTGTTTTCGAAATATCTTTACTAGTCATAACCAAGGAATTAAACAAACTAATAAAACTAGTCCAACCAAATATATCATACATTATTGCATACATTTGTATATATCATACATTTGTGCACATTCGGTAGACCGACGAGAGCCATCCGAGATTAGGTACGCAGATGAAATCGCCTCAAATTGATAATAAATTTCTTCCATGTTTTTAAACTGATTGTCATATAAAAAAAACAGTTACCAGTTCAAGGGAATACCTTCGATAGCCCATGAGCACAAGTTAGTTGATGCGGTCGAAGATCCTATCGTTTCTATTGATATTTATGTAGTCCAGACATAGGATTTCCCACTTTGAAGTAAACCACTCACCTCAACACCGACAGCTTCAGAATACAATGGATCCGATCGCCGATAGACTGGCCACCAATGATCCAATACTTGAGTGTCCTGGTGACTCGGCCATAGCTTGCCGGTTTTCATTTCCCATGAGAAGGTGTAGAGTACGGGTTTTGGTGGGTGGGACCCACTGGGCAGCTTACTGTCGGGTTCACGGAGGAGAATCCTACTCACCCCTATTGCTTGCCAGGTAACAGACAATGTCAGAAGTTTTTCCACGACGTTAAAAAACTTAGATTCACGTCAACTGAAGTTAAGAACGTAAATGTTGTATTGTAACTCTTTAGTTATTGATTTATGTATCTAAAAAAAATATATACATATATGTCACTTGTCAAAGACGTACAAAACTCAATGGTTTTATTTACCGTATTTTTTATATTAAATAAATAATTTTAACATGGCGCAGTCGGTAATGAGATAATTTAGTATATTTAATGAATTTGTGAGTTAATAATATAAGTAAAAACAGTTATATAGTGACAGTTTCCAGAAAATTTTCAAAGATGGCTCAATCTTCGCAACTAGCCGAAGAAAAAACAGCTCGATTACCATTGAATATCGACCTTCCTTTACCATTATCTTGGGAAGGTAATTTAGCAGATAATTGGGTATTTTTCAAGCAAAAATTTGAAATATATTTACTGGCTTCGGGGAATTGTGTAAATGACGATGAAATAAAAACAGCATTATTATTAAGTGCTTTAGGTGATCGTGCATTGAAACTCTATAACACATTGATATTTGAAAACGATGAAGATAAGACAGTTCTCCATAAATTTGATCAATATTTCTGCCCTGAAAAAAATGTGACATATGAGCGGTTTTTGTTTTTCACCCGTAATCAAAAGGATGGAGAGTCTTATGAAAATTATGTGATGGTATTACGAGACCTTAGCGCATCTTGTGAGTTTGGATCGCTAACTGATAGTTTAATTAAAGACAGACTTGTTTGTGGAATTTCCGAAATAGCTGTCAAAGACCGTCTCCTTCGTATGAAAAATTTAACGTTAGCTGTAGCACTTGAAATATGTTGTACTTCGCAACGGACAAAACAACAAGTTGAAGCTATGTCATCTTCAGCTACGTTAAATTTAGGTTCACATGATTTTTCATCTCAAGTTGACAAAATTAACAAAAGAAATTCGAACAATATGAGGCGCACAGACGCAGAAATAAAACGTAACTCCGTATTGACGCAGCAAAATGAACGCAATCAATTCATTTGCAAGAGATGTGGTTACTCGCATGAAAGATATAAATGTCCGGCATTCGGAAAAAAAAATTTAAAATGTGGAAAATTAAA